TCACTTAGTTTTCATTTTTTGCACATTTTAGCACGTATCAAATTTTTGCTCCTCAATAAAACTATGATATAGTTTTAATGTCCTGCAGGAATTATAGTCAGCTTTACCTCTGAAAATTCTGAAGCATTCATGGAAATAACATCTTTTAACTTCTCTACAGATTTCTTGTTTTCTGATATCTGCCATGTAAAAACAGAACACAAAATGCATATCAGGATTTCAGTAGAAACACTGGGATATACACTAAAAAGAGGAAACATCAATGAAGTAAATCTCAGAGCCATCCTGTGTTTCAGGTAAAAGCAGGTTTTTCAGTTTAGCCCTAGGCAAAAATCAAGAACTTAAAGAGGTAAACGAAAATAATCAAAGGCGTAAATATTTCATGGAATACACAACCTTCCTTGTTAGAATAAAATGTGGTAGGTGGCAAGACTAAAAGATGAAAGAAAAGAAACTGAGAAAACTTTCAAGTTAACCAGTTCAAATCAATGTGGTTTTTTTTTTCCCTTGGGGCAAGAGAGAAAAAAAAAATCCCCAAGGTACTTTAAAAATTTTCTTGCCTAAATTAAAAATGGTAGAATTGGAGTGAGAATAGACAGATCATGCATATACAAGAATTCCAAATGATTTATGAAGATCCTGGCTCCTCAAGGGGATGGAGTGTAATCCTTCACTTTTTAACTGTGGGCTGTGTTACTAACTTCCTTCCAAAGAGTACAATAATGCAAAAGGTAAAAAAAAAAAAAAAAAGCAATTTTACAGTGAAGAAACCTGGCAATACTAAGCTCAGTCAAGCCATCAAGATTAATAGGATGTGGGATTTATGGGAACCCTCTTTACTATCTTTGCAATTTTTATGTCATTCTGAAACTCTTCTATTAATAAAGTAAAATGCTTATAGTGAAAAAACACTTTGCAAAACAAAACAAAACAAAGGACTGTTCAACTGGGTTGTGGTTTCTTAATTGCTCCACATGTTTTGGAGGGCAGAGCCAAGCAATCAACAATTACCTAGGGTTGAGAACCAAAATACTTCCTAGGACCATAAGAGTAACTTCTTGTGTAAGTACTTAAAATCCCACAAAAACGGACAGAAGTAGTTCAACTTCCCTGACTCACACTCTTACTTCACAGAACACTATGGAAAAATAAAAAGTTCAAATCCATCTACAGAGTTCAAAAACCAAATTATTAGTAACACTTAGCAGCAAAACTCTTACCAAATCCTGATTCTTGACATTCTGTTCTCTCTCAGATTCTAACATAACACGAAGATTTTTAGCTGTGTCACCCAGAATTTCATTATTTTTTTCAAGTGTCTTGATTTTATCCTACAAAAAAGATATTAAGTTTAGTTATATTCATTAATTTTTACTTTTGTTTTAAAATGTAATCCCCAAAAGAAGTTTTTACCTTAAATTTAATTGCTTCATCAGAGAGAATCATAGTTTGTTTCCTGGTTTCTTGAACATGTTTATTTGATTCCTTGATCTGCAAAAAATAAAGCATTCAGAATCCAGAAATACAAAGTATTGTGCTATTGGAATTTACTTTGGAGTGACTGACCTCTTATAGAAGAAAACAGTACTTTACACACATGATTGATTAAGCTCTGGATTGTTTATAGGAATTAATGGAATAATAAATATTATTTTAAAATACCATAGTAACTGAACAATAAGACAGGTGAAAATAATTCAAGCTGGGACCAGGGGAAAAAAAAAAGAATAATTATACCTTCTGTTCATAATTTGACAATTTCTGTACAAGTTCTGTATTTTCTTTCCTAATAATCTTCAACTTCTCAGAAATCTGCTGTTCAGTGACTGAAAAAAGAAAATATATAAGGTTATTATGATCACTAAATGAAACTGAATGACCCAATGTATCGGCAGAAAGACATGTTATCTGGCACTATGAGGAAAAAGGACTTCTTGACATAACTATTATGGTTTTGAAATGTGATATGGTTTGGATTGTGTCCCCACCAAATCTCAAGTCAAATTATAGTCCCCAGTGTTGCAGGTGGGGCCTGGTGGGAGGTGATTGGATCATAGGGGTGATTTCTCATGAGTGGTTTATCACCATCCCTGTGGTGCTGTTCTTGTGACAGTGACTGAGTTCTTGTGGAGTCAGGTTGTTTAAAAGTGTGCAGCATCTCCCCGCTCACTCTCTGTTGCTCCTGCTTCTGCCATGTAAGACGGCCTGCTCTTGCTTTACCTCCTGCTATGGGTGATATCTCTCCGAGGCCTCCCCAGAAGCAGATGCCACTATGCTTCCTGTATAGCCTGCAGAATTATGAGCTAATTAAACCTCTTTCTCATAAATTACTCAGTCTCAGGTATTTCTTTTTTTGAGACAGGGTCTCGGTCTGTTGCCCAGGCTGGAGTTCAGTGGCACAATCTCAGCTCACTGCAAACTCCACCTCCCAAGCTCAAGCAATTCTCCTCTCTCAGCCTCCCAAGTACCTGAGACCACAGGTGCTTGCCACCACACCTGGCTAATTTTTGTATTTTTTAAAATAGAGATGAGTTTCTCCATGTTGCCCAGGCTGGTCTCAAACTCCTGAGCTGAAGCAATCCTCCTGCCCTGGCCTCCCAAAGTGTTGGGATTACAGGCATGAGCCATCACACCTGGCCTTGGGTATTTCTTTACAGCAGTGTGAGAACAGATTAATACAAAAAGCAATCTTCTAATAGGAATAAGAATGTAAAAATATTGTTACAATTTAAGAAAAATATAATAAGAAACTTTATTTCAATGAGAGTCTAAGTTAAGTTTATTTCCAAGATGGGAAACCCGGTAAAATGTTATAGGTCAATATTCCTCCCTGCATGAAGCATTTTTTTTTTCTCAGAAGATGGCATCACTTCAAATATGTCATTTGCAAAGAGAAAAAGAAAATGCAAGCATGCTGATTTATATTTCTAGTCCTGAAATTATCTACTTAAATAAATGGTTAATGTACTAAATCACTAACACAGAAAACCTGGTCACATGTAATAAACTAGTACATCAATATTTAAGGTAAATCTGCCCCCAATGAAACTAATCTTCTCCCTACTCCCACAATTTGTTCCTCCTCATCTCCTATCTCAGTTGGTAGCATCATCATTTATTCTATCATCCAAGCTAGCAACCTAAGAATAGGAAAGTGTTCAGAAGCTGTAAGTCAGTCAGACTTACATATAAAAGCCATATCAAACACCAGTACAGGGGGAATAGTACAAATAACAAAACAAGCCTAAAGATTTACCTTGATATACTCTACTCTTTACCTAGAAAAGAGAAATAAAAGTTAAATTGTATGTCAAACATTTCATTAATAGGTGTATATAGTTCCTAACACAACAGTTGGAATTATAACCAAATGGGAATTTAATAACAGTTTGCTTTAGCATAATACATCCACAAGATTAAAAAAATTAAAAAGGTTAAAAGCATGTCAAATTCAACCAGTAGTGATATGCTGCAGTCTGACAGATAAAGCACTAAGATAAATACCTTGCTCTGCAGCTAAATGTATGTTTACATATCTAAATGAACACCAGTCTTATGAAATGAGCACTTAACTTGAATAACAGAAATGGCTAATATTTTTATAATAAATATATTAACATTTTATTTACTCAAAGTCACCTATTTGACAACTCCAAAGAGCCAGAATGAAATCTAAAAACATTGACCACTCAAAAAGACTCTGAGGAGACAAAATTAAAGGTATAATCTTCGTACTAAGATACACCTCTTTTGCTTTCCAGAAAATATCTCAGAAATCCTATTCAAAGTTGACTACTGGCTGAACTTAGAAACAATTCTATTAACACTAAGGTAGATCATTTGAC